GCTTTGCGGAGATTGTAAAGCAGAGAGAAACAAGAACAGGTGTGTGACTGTTTGTAGAACGTTTAACCTCTGGTTCACATTAGTGCCCCACATCTGATGAAAGTACGGCGACAGAATGAGACGATTAGCAGCTAAAACGTAAATGTGAGGTTCAAATGTTACGTTTGCCCTCAGATCTGAACAGCTTTGGTTAATAAATGACTTTATTTGTTGTTTGGAATTACAAGTTTCAGAGCGATGCTGCTGCGTTTGAACCGTACGTGATTTACTGTAAATTCTGAAAGTGCTTCGTCGTCAACTCTTTGCTTTTTAAAGCCCTAATTAAATGGATTTTAGTTCACTTAACAAGCACCTTTTATGCTAAACACATAGAAAGCAACTTTCAGATCATTCATCTTCAGTGCATTTTTTAAAAGTTTCAAGTAGGACTTTTTATTCTTCTTTTAAAGTAGTTCATAAATTATAGTTTTTTGCTTTGCACAAATACAAAAAACGATGTAATAGTTGCTGCAGGTTAAATAAAATACAATTTTCTGCCACAGTACAGGAGAAACTGCATCCCATGTTGTCTGTATCTGTACTGTAAATGATCTAACTGGCAGATTTGCATATCGAGAGCAGTTATTTATAAACAGGATGACTTGATACTGCCCCCCCCCCCCCCCCCCCCACACACACACACACACACCTGCCTTCACCCCCTGAACATTCATCCTGTCACTGACCTGAAGGTTTTCCTCACTCAGGAGTGCAGAGCCGATCTGACTTTCCAATTAAGTTGCATTCTATATGAAGAGCGTGGGGCTGCAGGGCACCTGCTTTCTAATTAGCCAACAGGAAATTAGCAGAACGATTGACGCGCCTGATTCACACCAACGATTAGCGCTACAGTTTGAAGTCCTCCCAGTGTCCAATTAAGAAGGTTGATGTGAAGAAAAGGGCTGAGTGTGGAAACTTCTGTGTTCCAGCGTTGTTATTTTCTGGAAGAAACTTCTGATCTAAGTGAAGTCTGCTGCAGGAACACCTTGTTATTTGTGTTATTCACGGGAACACCATAAAAACGAGACTTCAGTGAAATATAAATAAGGTGGTGACGTTCATGTATCGCTCCATCGAAATCATTAAATTGCTCTTGACAACGTTTTTTGTTTTTTTAGCATCAGAGGTGTGTTGTTGCTGCTGTTATTCACAGTTGAACTGCATCCGTCCATTTATCCATCCATCCATCCATCCATTTATCCATCCATCCATTTATCCATCCATCCATCCAGTTATCCATCCATCCATTAATCCATTTATCCATCCATGCATCCATTTATCCATCCATCCATCCAT